GCCCCCAGCGGCTGGCTAACCCGCCCGTCCGGTGGCCCCCGCTCACCCTTGAGCTTCTCCCCGAACATGGTGAGGAAGACGGTGAAGTTGATGGGCCCCGGGGCCTCCTTCACCATGGCCTCCAGCTCCTCGTTCTTGACATTGATGCGGCCTGGGGGGGCAAAGGGGGGGTCAGGGCGCAGGGCGGGGCGCTGGGGGCCTGTGCGCAGCCAGCCAGGGAGGGTCCCTCAGGTGTCCCAGCTCTGCCATCCCTAAAGCCCGACCTGCTGTGGGGACATTCAGCCCTCGGTCTCCTGGGCCTCCATCTGCAGATAAGGAACGGACCTCGGGAGCTGCAGGGGGCCCTGGCCTCTTGGCTCAGGTGGATGCTCAGGTGGCCAAGGCTCAAGGCGCATCCAGAGTGGCCTGGCCTGTGTCCCCTAAGCCCCGCCCCCATCAGTGCCTAACCCCTCCCTGGCAGTTGTCCCCACTTCTCCCCCTGCTGTCTGGACCCCTCCTGCCCCCACCCTTCACACAGGCTGTTCCACCCTGGTAGTGCCCTTCCCGGCCCCAGGTCCCCGTGCTCCCCAGTCGCCCCCGACCTTCCCAGCAGCACCCCAACCCCAGCTCCCCCCGGGCACACACGGTTGCCTGGCTGCCTGGGCTCGGCTCCACCCCAGGCCAGGCGCCCGGCTGCGGGGTACCCACCCAGGGCCGCGAACGTGTCCCTCAGGTCCTCCTTGTCGATGAAGCCGTCCCGGTTCTGGTCCATGATGGTGAAGGCCTGGCAGAGACCACGCTGAGCCACCCTCAGCCCGCCCAGCCTGGCCCGTCACCACGGCCAGGAGCAGGGCTCCTGCCAACGGCGGCCGGTAACCTCGGCCGGGGCCCCTGGGTCCCCAGCTGCCCGGCCTGGCCGCCCAGAGCCCGAGGGCCGTGGCCATCGGAGCACCCAGTGGCCCGTGCTTGTCCCCCCTCTCAGGCGCTCAGCTGCCCCCATTTACCGAGAGGGAAGCCCGGCTCAGGGGAAAGGCCTGGGCGAGTCACACAGCCAGCTGAGGTTCAGGAGGCCAGCGTCCCCCCGGCTCCCGCTCCGGGGCACACCAGGGTGGCCCAGGAGAATGAGGACACACTCGGGCAGCCCCCGGCCACCCTGGACCCTGTGCCCTTCTGGCCTCGTCCCCGGGAGCAGCCGACCAACCTCCTTGAACTCCTGGATCTGGGACTGGTCGAACATGGAGAAGACGTTGGAGCTGGCCCCGCCGTCCACCCTCTTCCGGGCCCTCCTGGGTGCCTGTCGGGAACAGGTGAGGCCCTGCAGCTGCCCCTTCCTTGGAGTCAGCCCAGCCCAGCCTCATCTCCCTCCCGCCTCCTGATGCCCGCAGCACACAGACCTGGCTCCCTGGAAGCCAAGGCTTGGCCAGTCCAGCAGGAGGCCTGCGGAGCCCTCCCCACCACCTCCCACACGGCCAGGCACCTGCCTCCTGCCTGCCCCCATCCCCACCTGGCTACCCCAGGGGCACAGGGCACTTCTGTCTGCACCGTGTTGGGGACCCTGTCCCCTCTGCTCCGGCTGGAATCTGGCCTTGTCCAGCTGCTAAAAGCTTCCCATATGTTCTCAGGATTTGTCCCTTGCCACCTTCCAAAGCATCTCCTCCCTCCCACCTGGGTCCCCCACTTCCCCAAGCCCCCTCTGAACTGCCCTGCCCCCTCCCCTGTGTCCCAGACGCCTTCCCAGCCTCCCAGGAAGACGCCTCCTCCAGGAAGCCCTCCTGCCCGCCCAAGGTCAGACGAGGTCAGACCAACAGGCCCTGCTCTGTTCTGGGCCTGACGCCCTCCAGAGCGCACACCACCCTGTCCTGCCATTTTCCTCCCCGTGGCTGTCTGCCCATCTAAGACCTCAGGGGTGACACCCATTCTGTCCCATCGGTGGTCTCTTGGGCCCACCCCAGATGTGGCTCAGAGCTGGATCAGTCCATGTTTGGCCATAGCCTCCGTAAGTCAGGTCCCACCTAGGCACACGGGGGACCTCAGGCCACCCACGTGGACGCAGCCCTGGGTCTCTGGCTGGCCTTCCTGCCTCCAAGGGTTTCTTTCAGATGATCCTGCTACCTGTGGGCCCACCACTCAGCATTTGTGAAAGCTCTATGTCCCCAGGATGCCCCAGGGGACTTCCCCGGGCCTGTCCCCAAGTTGGTCCTTGAAAGAGACTGTCCTTGACCTCATGGAGGGAGAGGTGGAGGTCCCGGCTCCCTCCAGCTCAGCCTGCACCACCCTGGCTGCCTGGGGGGGGGGGTCTGTCCAAC